AGGAGCTTCGAAGCCACTGGCTTTACAGCAAGCTATTTTTGTTTTACCTAGATGGCACGCTATTGTACCATGCCACTACGTCAGTCATCGAGTGGTGTTAATGGTTAATGCTGGAATGTATTACTGCTATTATCATTATATTATCACGTGATTTGTGTTCACCTTATAGGTAATTCCTTAAGTATCTTTATTGCAATTTGAATATACAAATTCGTATATGCCGACCAAACGATCCCGATTGAAGGGCATGTACCAATTCGTGTGTAGGTACGGCTTCTGGAATTGTGTCAATCCGTGTATTTTGACACGCATGACCTAATTATGTGTACAGGTCTATAAATGTGCTCGTTCTCATCGGAACTTTATCGGCATATCCAAGCCGTGTACGAATCAAGACAACTTGCTCGCAGTGATTTATTTGAATCCACTGAATACTTACCATGCCCATCTTCTCTCCACGATACATAGATCCAAATAAATATCGAAAATTATCTTACCTGGCTCAATACTATACATATACAACCGAATGACCTTGGGAACGTTGGAGGTTATTACTCAAAGGTCAAATAGGCAGAACGAGGTCAATGAGTAAGGATTCTAACTACAGTATATTGAGGGCGCTTTGTTATTTCTACGCGAATCTTGCCTATTACTACATAGCGTAACGCTGCCCCTCTAAGACATCATGAATAAAGTTTTAGATCATTTTCATATGGGATACCGTGTGTGCATTTATTCAAATAGTGTTTTTATGTAATTAAGTTTATTATATGTTAACAACACGGTAGTTTTGTCATTATTATTCAGTTTTCAATATTAATTATTGACAATTTAAATCAGTTATATAGAAAGTGTTGTCCCGATTTATCCCGATTTATACAATTATGTATATATATATATATATATATATATATAATACATATAATGAATATTATCATTTGAAACTTGCTAATACCGTGCTTCATTGTAGAAACAAAATATATAATTTGAAAGTATTTATTTATCATGTTAGTAACGAGGGGGGGAGATGTGTAAAATTCCCTAATGATTATTGAGCATGTAACTATATAAATGTTTACATCATGTGAAAACGTTAGTGCATATGTCGTCCGAGTGATTGCTTGATGGATTATCTGACGACCAATGTTAAACCAATGTTTCATTTTGCTTATCTTAGCTCAAGCAATTACAATTCGTTTGTAGCATGTCTCTAGTTAAATTTACCATCAGGTTACCCGTAACCCTAGCATCACTACGGTTAATGTATAGAGTTTGCTTGTTAAATTTTAATCAAAAATTACTGAAACGCAATGCCATATGATTTTCTGAATCCAAAGCAGAGAAGGCACACACAAGAGGGTGATGATTCACATAACATATATATTGTTATAACACGAACAAATACTGTGATTTGCTCTGTGAGTATGTAGAGAAGCATGCTAGAACTGAGCTACTGATTAGAAATAACGTGCTATGTAATTTTAGTCATAATTTACCTTGATATGTCAAATATGTTGCAATTATAAATCTGAATTCTACCATCTTTGCTCTAATAGAAAAATACAGAAACACAAAGAAATGAAGGAACAGCATGAATGAACACATTATCATTGTTTAACCAAGCATTTAAGGTTGTATTGTTGGCAAACTTAGTTGAAAGTTTCGAAGTTCGCGTGAAAGCCTTGATAACATAAGTAAAATAGTCATCATATTAATTAAAATGGGGCAGTGTTAATGGCAATACAGAAAACAACCGCGTCTGGTGTGAATTTTATTTCAATCTTGATGGAAGATGCTTCGTTACATAGAAAACCTTGCATATAATTTGGCGATTAAACAACACCCTAAAATCCTGGAAATTCAATTTCGACCGACTGCCCAAAATAGCTCAGTGATTTTC